AGTTAGCTTTACATAGGTTCACAGATTTCTCAATCAAGCGAACTGTGTTCACTTTACGTATCTCTGAGGAGCGCAAGAACAAGCATCAACTTATATGCGCGTGGTCTGAGATTACAAGGATGTTCCATACTGAACAGCAGTCAACAATTGGTCCTTTCCGTCTGTAACTGATGGCTATGTGCTTTATTCACAATCGACGTTGGGTCATATGTGAGGGGCGATGTGCAGCCAACAAGTTTCGTCTGTTTCGTAGGTTAGGCTACAGAAGAAAGTCCGTACCTGCAGCAGCCTTTCATAATTGTCAACAGACCTTGGTTCCAGTCCACCACAATAATCGACTTAAGTCTCAACAGCGTGAACTTGCCGGTTACCACAACAATGTTTGGGTTTTAGATGGCTGTAACAAAACACCTTTGGCGTCGTAAAAGCTGTTTCTGAGATTATCAGGGCTATCTACGTCGGCTGTGCACTGATTGAGAAGTTAGCTACTGTCCTGAAATAACAAGTGGAACTTGTTGGGACCAGAAGCTTAATGAAGCTCCAGTCGAGAGACTGGTTAGGATTCCATATAGATAATACACTTTGACTTCACAGGATGGAAGCTCTGATGGGATGTAGCAGATGACCAACTCGGTTTGGGCTTGAAGTATTCTGCCCAACCGTACAGAAGTTCTGTACTGGTAACCCGAGAGCCACAGTGGTCCTGGGTTGTTTTACTGACAAGATGCTTGCATGACCTTGTTGCATGAGTCAAGTGAAAAGTCTGTGTCGTGCTATGCTGTTATTTCCTTGGTTTTCTGAACACCGTGTTTCTGAGTCTTCATTCACAAGCAGTTTTGGCGTGCGTTGGATGATAAGTCAAGTAAGCTTGTGGTTATGGTCTGAGGGTATCTGTTTCCGGGCCTTCAGCAAAGCCACAACCTTAGCCGTCCAGCATTCGTCGGGTGGTATCACAGACGCTACCAAGAAAGCCCAGATAAGACAGCAATCAACAGGTTATCTTGTCACGTACGGATGCACCCTCTCCATGGCGTAACACAACACCAATCCCGTCGTCTGCCTGACCAGAGGTGCATAATCGCCCATCAGCTCAGCTGACGGCGCTACACCACGGTCACTAACATGGTGAAAGTATTCGACTGTGAATTTCATGATTGTGCGCGGTCTGAGCTACTATTAGGCTGTCCAAACATGGCTGGGAGGACTTCGACCGAACCTCTTGGCTCGAAGGCCTGATCGCAAGGTAGGTGGCGACTGGCGGCGTAATACCATAGTAGTGAGGTTTTAAGGAACAAGTCACAGTGCACGTTTCATTCGCGCTCGCCACACATTGCTTTTTAAACCTCTATCTGTACACTGGTTTGATGTGAGAGACTCGAGCTCGATATAGCTCAGTGATTAAAGCGCCAACCTACTCACCGGAAGATCTGTTGTTCGAGTCTAGCTTCCGCATCTCGACTGCCATCTGAGCTTGGGCAACTTAGCAGGATCTCAGTCCTCGAGCCTCCTTTGGGTGACATGGTAGGTAGGCACCGAAATAATCTTACAGGTGAGTAATTGATGTTGTTATGTGAGGCTTTATGTGTCAAAGCGTACCCCGAGCTGTGGCCCAATGGGTCGTCGGGGTGCATTAGGCGTTACTCCATGAGTGTCGTTTTGTGGTGCGTGTTTACTGACCATGGCGTGTAGGTTTGAAGACGAAGGCAAGCACTAACCATGTTGAATAAACTGACCGCAGTCATACCATGGCATGCGTCTTGCACCTTCGCGAGCCATCTCGTCCCCCAAATCGGCACATACACTTGATGGAAGTGAGATATGTTGACTGTCAGGAAGAAACATCATTAACTTACTGCACGTTCTCAGGAGTAGTCATATTTATTTGGTTGTGGTGGGATAAGTTATTGAACCATTCGGACGCAAGGCTGCATGTATTAGATGAACAAACCTTCAGTTCGCAAGGATATATGCATGTAGGTCGCCCCTCGGACGAACGTTTTTCAGCTTTCGCAAAGGGCGGTTTGGTTTTCGTAAGTTGAGTGATTATATTTTTCAGCACAATGACCAACCCATTTGCGTCCACTAGAAATTTCACGTTGTGCAAACCAGTAGAGCTCATCATTTTGTTCGTTAAATTTCCTTATAGCCAGTCTTGTCAAGTTGACTATTCGGTCACTCCTCAGAGTCTCTTCTGAGAGTTTCAGTGGTTTTCCAACGTATGTCCTGGAAGCACATCCATCTACAATCAAGAGAACGAATGCCCATGTTCGCAAAGCATGCATCATTTGTACTCCCACTGGCCTGGTTCACAAAAACAGATTATATATATACCTATATATATATATATATATATATATATATATAACGATCGCACCATTGAAATCACGGACTCTACTGCGTGTCTTTATTCCAGCTCTATGGAGACATGGTCCACGTAGCCGTAGGCGCTGGGATCCAGCATGCAGTCCCAAAGCACGTGGGACCGACTTCGTCGAAAGGATCTTTTCGCACAATCACGTGAAGGGTGAAAGAGAGCCAGAGTTGTTCAAACAATGACTGGGCAGCGAAGTATAGAAGCCACTATCAGCGAACTCAGCTGCGCTGGTCATTGTCATCTTCCTGGATGGGGACCCCGAGACGGGTCTTATCAATGGTTAGAAGCATTGTCAGACATGACCAAGTCGTGCCCTCGTTGGCGTTCATGCATCCAAGCTATTGCTTTCAGTGCGTGGCTCCCTTCCCAATCCCCCACTTAACAGTCCATTTAGTGCTGTATTTGAGCACTAATTTATCAGCTCTGGTCTCCAATGCGCAGCTACCCACCCAACCTCTCCGAATCGTCGGTGAACGAAACTATGACAGCTACAACCACCGTACGACATGTACGCAGTTATCGCAGCTGACATTGATGGTGATGAAGTTTTATTACAATGAGGATCAAGCTGATACCCACACAGTTACTTTTTTCACTATTTCTGACGTAGGACCAGTCGGTGTCTGCCAGCCCAGTCCAATTGGCTGGATGGTTAGATAACTAAGGCGACATGGCTGATGGCACCACGCGACGGCCGATTTTACATGAGTTCATTTCTATATGTGAAATGGGCTGGGACACTGTCGGGGCGCCCATACCTAGATAGGAGGACTATTAGGGTCCTTAACCAAAGCCTTTGGTTCAAAAGCCTAACCGCAAGGCAGCGGTGTTTGTCTGGAAATACAAGTACATTACTGTTTTTACGGAACAAGGCGCCACACGTTTTAACCCCCAACCTGGAGGACCAGGAGACTGTGTTCGTCAGACCTGTAAACGTTGACCAACCTGTCATGAAAGACTGCGAGTGTCGCGCAGACACCCCCAAGTATAGCACACAAACCGTCACACCAAGGTAAGGTCAAATCTCTTCGTGACGATTAGATACATCCCGTCCTTTGGTATGCACTTAGCACCCATGAAGTGTAATGTCATGCTCTTGAGCATGCAGTTACTGTACAAGCCACTTACAATCCAGGAGCAGGCACTCGAAGTTGTGGAGCGTTTTACTTATATTCGAATTTGTAGTGTGACGGGTGAATTCAGTGCACAGATCTACGAGGCTCGGGGTCGCGTTTTAATTTCTACCGCGTTAAAACGTTATAGCTCTGAATCTCAAGGGAAGTGGTTATCTAGCTACAATACAGGCTGTTTTGCTTTATAGCTGTGAGACTTGGCCTATTCTAGCAGCGGAACTGAGACTTCTTGAGGTGTTTGACAATCATTGTCTCAGGACCATAGCTCGTGTGGTTTGGTGTCAGTGGATCCGTAACGAGACTATTAGGAACCGAGTTTTCGGTTGTGCAACAGCAGAGGCTGCGTTTTCTAGGCCATATATTGCCTGCGCCGAATTATCGTTTGCCGAAGAGATTGCTGTTTTCCTCACCCAGTTCAAAGTGGCGGGAATAGAGAGGTCTCCAACCTTTGACCTAGCAGAGGGGTACAAGGGATATCACATAACGTTTGGGTGCCGTTGATCCTAGTCGCTTCCGGGATGGGGACCGCATGATCTACACTGCGCCTGGTTGGAGACGCCGCAAGATATGGCTGCTAACCTATGTCAGTGGCGTTCATGTCGTCAGTTTCTATCCAGATTGCCCGAATGAGTGTCTGGAAGTGTAGGTACCTCGTAGTTATTGTAGTAAGCTAGCACTCAGTTCATTTCCCCGTCTACCTTTATTCTTTTCTTCACAATAATGCTTTCAAATAAATCTGGTTGTACGGCAGTGAAGCACCGATGTTGAGTACTGATATCGTGCTGTCCATGATGTAGACGATTATAGTGATGGGTAGATAATCAAGTCGTTCACTGCAAATTTCAGCTTAATCATCAGACTGAACTGTCGGTGGCCTACCGGCCCTGGTAGCTTATTGGCTGCTGAGGGTGATTGTTTCTTCTCTACCACTGCATCTGCGAAGTCACGTTTTCTGGCACGAGTCGTAAATTTGGTGGAGCAATGTAGAGCGCTCTGTTGAATGGTTTTTCTACGTCTCTGGCCGGACGGTTCACATAACTGAGATATCTGTCACCGACTGTTTCACTCACAGAATGTTTTGGGTATCTGTTAAACTGATTAATTACAGTATTGTTCTACCATATCTATTTCTTCGGCATACAAAACCCACCATTCTTTTTTGATGAAGTAGGATATATTTTCCGGTGTCAAGTAGAGTCAATATCTTTCCGGAGTTCGACTTTGTTGTTCGTATTGTAACAAAGCGGCAAAGACAGCACGTTCCAGAAGGTCTGGGGGCGAGATGGCCGAAGTGGTTAGAGCGCGGATCACTAACCTGAAGGTCCGCGGTTCGAATCCGACCTCTGCCACTCGACTTCCCCTGTCTAGGCTTGGGCAACCTGGCAGTATCCCAGCCCTCGTGCTTCCTTCGGGTGGCATGGCAGCTAGGCACCGGAAGGGTGCTACAGCTGAACGCCATGAGCGCACTAACTAGCCATTAGACAACCTTGCCCATGATGCCGATACGCACAGTGCGCGTGAGAGAGCCGGTCAGGGGTTCGCTTCTTATTCTCAAGCCCTTTTTCTCCTGATTAAATCGTAACCGACTGACTGACCCCATCGATGGTTTACATCCACTCGCTTGAATGGCAACTGTCCGAAACAAAAGTTGCTGACACGGTTGACGCTCACTTTCAGCTTACAATGCGCAACTTGCTGTATACGTCTCAATTATTCGATTTAGCAGATTTTTAACACCCATTACGCTGTTACTGAAAGCATATTTGTCTTTTCGGATCTTATAAGTACTCCTCAGCCTCCATTTCGATTCAACGAGAAATAGTAAGGCACTGGCATGGGGACTGAATCAGCTCATCAGGGCCCAAGTGGAGTGACCACGAAAACCACTGTCGGAACAGGTCTTTTTAGATGCACTACCAAAAATAGCAGGAATATTTCTATTAGACTGTTTAAAACATCGGAAACATTGATAAGTAAAAACCCGGATTTTGGTATACCAACTAATTCCGGGTGAATAAAGTTCATGCAGGATATCTCCAAGCCGTCATTCTGCCTTTCCTTCTGCTTGATGTGTATACTGGTGTACTGCTGAACCAGCAAGTATCCAATTGACTTTTGGAAACTCTGAGTAAGATCTGGTCATTTACGTTCTGGAATGCCCCAGCTGTCTTCAGAAACGTGGCTGTTGTCAGCTCATTAAATCAGAAAACAATAGCTTCACCTTTCTAATAGTTCCATCTCCTCAAGAGGCTCACCCTCGTCAAGTCAGGTTTTCAACAAGTCACTTGTTGTTGTTTACCTACAAAGTCTGCATCCACGTTTATGAAAACCAACACTCGCATACATACTGATATTCACTTTTGCGCTTTTAGGCATATATAGCCCAGTGACCTTTGAGTAAACCACTATCATTTTTATGTCGCAGCTGTAAAGTCAGCATATCTGTATCCCCTATGTAGAAAACTTCGTTTCTGAGATAGAAACACTAGATGTGGAACCAAACTCAAGGCGGTCATAAAAAGCGCCCAGCCGAATATGACTACCTTATCAGATGAAACGCCTGTAAGAAGAGACAAAATCTGTCCCCGCAGCAAGTATTCCGAATTAAACCATTCCCTATAAGAACCCCCCCCCATCCCATTTGGTTTGGTATTCTTACCCTCAAATGTGTCTTTTAGAAAGACAGCTACAATCCCCCAGCAAAGACTATCCGAAACGCTTCTTACCTCCTCTCCAGGTACAGTTAATCTTTCGATTCACTTTACTTATCACAGCCCCTTGAAGTTCTTAAAATAGGCCTCAAAATGTACTACACATTGTAATTGTTACTTGATTCACAAGCGATTCAGCTCACCTGTATCCATTGACTTAGTCGATCGAAATGCTGTCCCCGCTGGTTTCCCCATTTTCCGAGCTACAGAAACCTCTGTTCATTGTCTTTGAACAGGAGGAGGATGACCAGCACATTAAAATCCTTGACTGATAATAACTTACAACATTTCCATCTCCCCCCAGCCCTCCAACTAAAAATATACTGCCTTCCTCTCCACCGGTAAAGGCATAAGGTGATGTGAGAAAAAGTGGTAAGATTCCCTCTGACCATCCTGCTTCATCTGGAATCTTCAAACAGAACTTCGCATTCAGTTAGGATTATGGTGTGTTATAACATGTATAGTAGTGAGCAGAAAGTCAGAAATATAAAATTGCTTCGTACTAATAATCGATAACTAGTCATTGGCCCGCATTATGCTGTTACATGAGAAATTGCAGATTTTTCGGGTCGAATGATGCTCAGAATCATAATCACACACTAGAACGTTCGTACGTATAAAGCAAAGCCATTTATCGATTTTTCGAAAAAAGCAGCAGCGGTATTTCACTGTGGCACCCCAATGGATCTCAGACCTATCCTGACCACATCAGTTCGTAGCAGGGAAATCACTGTTCCTCGTGCGGAAAGATCCGTTCTAGCGCTTACTTATTTAATTCCAGCCTATTTGATTGAAATACATACTAAGAGGTCTTTTATCGTGAGAAAGATAAAGTTTGTCGGTAAACTTCATACGTTCCTCGAAATTTCGTCATCATCCTAGCAATTCTATGTACTTTCTTTATGTTCTTACAGTCGTTTATTACTCTGCGCCACTCGCTGGGAAATTCAGATTATTCTGGTGAGTCCACACCAAAGGTAAGCACTGGACTCGGGTTTCGCTCTTATTAGAGCTCACCAACGTGTAATCCACTACTCCACCAACGCACGTTGGACGCATCCAAATTTTCACGTCTGAACAGGCGGCGTGTTTACGCTCGGACGATGTGATTGGTGTGCCCGTCTCGCATGTCAGGTATCAGAAGTTCAAATCCCGGCACACCATTGGATATACACCACTGATGAGTTCTAATAAGAGCGAAACTCAAGTTCAGTGCTTGCCTCCTATGGTGTAGACTCACCAGAATAATTACATCAGAACATGAGGACAACCGTTTAAATGACAATGGTGTGAATATGAACCAAAAACTTATCCCACAAAACCCCGCAACTGAAACCAAAGCCAGATTAATTTGACATCCACCACCTGCCAAACATTGAGCGAACGATTCGATAGAAACCACAACCAATGAACTTACCGAATTCCCTTTCGGTACACAAGCTTCTTCATCATCTGGATTCTGCAAAATGGTGTTTTTCATGCAATACGTTGGGTGTAGTATCAAATCTAGTTCGTAAATCGCCCCCTTATGTAACTGCGTAAGTTGAGTGATTATATTTTTCAGCACAATGACCAACCCATTTGCGTCCACTAGAAATTTCACGTTGTGCAAACCAGTAGAGCTCATCATTTTGTTCGTTAAATTTCCTTATAGCCAGTCTTGTCAAGTTGACTATTCGGTCACTCCTCAGAGTCTCTTCTGAGAGTTTCAGTGGTTTTCCAACGTATGTCCTGGAAGCACATCCATCTACAATCAAGAGAACGAATGCCCATGTTCGCAAAGCATGCATCATTTGTACTCCCACTGGCCTGGTTCACAAAAACAGATTATATATATACCTATATATATATATATATATATATATATATATAACGATCGCACCATTGAAATCACGGACTCTACTGCGTGTCTTTATTCCAGCTCTATGGAGACATGGTCCACGTAGCCGTAGGCGCTGGGATCCAGCATGCAGTCCCAAAGCACGTGGGACCGACTTCGTCGAAAGGATCTTTTCGCACAATCACGTGAAGGGTGAAAGAGAGCCAGAGTTGTTCAAACAATGACTGGGCAGCGAAGTATAGAAGCCACTATCAGCGAACTCAGCTGCGCTGGTCATTGTCATCTTCCTGGATGGGGACCCCGAGACGGGTCTTATCAATGGTTAGAAGCATTGTCAGACATGACCAAGTCGTGCCCTCGTTGGCGTTCATGCATCCAAGCTATTGCTTTCAGTGCGTGGCTCCCTTCCCAATCCCCCACTTAACAGTCCATTTAGTGCTGTATTTGAGCACTAATTTATCAGCTCTGGTCTCCAATGCGCAGCTACCCACCCAACCTCTCCGAATCGTCGGTGAACGAAACTGTGACAGCTACAACCACCGTACGACATGTACGCAGTTATCGCAGCTGACATTGATGGTGATGAAGTTTTATTACAATGAGGATCAAGCTGATACCCACACAGTTACTTTTTTCACTATTTCTGACGTAGGACCAGTCGGTGTCTGCCAGCCCAGTCCAATTGGCTGGATGGTTAGATAACTAAGGCGACATGGCTGATGGCACCACGCGACGGCCGATTTTACATGAGTTCATTTCTATATGTGAAATGGGCTGGGACACTGTCGGGGCGCCCATACCTAGATAGGAGGACTATTAGGGTCCTTAACCAAAGCCTTTGGTTCAAAAGCCTAACCGCAAGGCAGCGGTGTTTGTCTGGAAATACAAGTACATTACTGTTTTTACGGAACAAGGCGCCACACGTTTTAACCCCCAACCTGGAGGACCAGGAGACTGTGTTCGTCAGACCTGTAAACGTTGACCAACCTGTCATGAAAGACTGCGAGTGTCGCGCAGACACCCCCAAGTATAGCACACAAACCGTCACACCAAGGTAAGGTCAAATCTCTTCGTGACGATTAGATACATCCCGTCCTTTGGTATGCACTTAGCACCCATGAAGTGTAATGTCATGCTCTTGAGCATGCAGTTACTGTACAAGCCACTTACAATCCAGGAGCAGGCACTCGAAGTTGTGGAGCATTTTACTTATATTCGAATTTGTAGTGTGACGGGTGAATTCAGTGCACAGATCTACGAGGCTCGGGTCGCGTTTCTAATTTCTACCGCGTTAAAACGTTATAGCTCTGAATCTCAAGGGAAGTGGTTATCTAGCTACAATACAGGCTGTTTTGCTGTATAGCTGTGAGACTTGGCCTATTCTAGCAGCGGAACTGAGACTTCTTGAGGTGTTTGACAATCATTGTCTCAGGACCATAGCTCGTGTGGTTTGGTGTCAGTGGATCCGTAACGAGACTATTAGGAACCGAGTTTTCGGTTGTGCAACAGCAGAGGCTGCGTTTTCTAGGCCATATATTGCCTGCGCCGAATTATCGTTTGCCGAAGAGATTGCTGTTTTCCTCACCCAGTTCAAAGTGGCGGGAATAGAGAGGTCTCCAACCTTTGACCTAGCAGAGGGGTACAAGGGATATCACATAACGTTTGGGTGCCGTTGATCCTAGTCGCTTCCGGGATGGGGACCGCATGATCTACACTGCGCCTGGTTGGAGACGCCGCAAGATATGGCTGCTAACCTATGTCAGTGGCGTTCATGTCGTCAGTTTCTATCCAGATTGCCCGAATGAGTGTCTGGAAGTGTAGGTACCTCGTAGTTATTGTAGTAAGCTAGCACTCAGTTCATTTCCCCGTCTACCTTTATTCTTTTCTTCACAATAATGCTTTCAAATAAATCTGGTTGTACGGCAGTGAAGCACCGATGTTGAGTACTGATATCGTGCTGTCCATGATGTAGACGATTATAGTGATGGGTAGATAATCAAGTCGTTCACTGCAAATTTCAGCTTAATCATCAGACTGAACTGTCGGTGGCCTACCGGCCCTGGTAGCTTATTGGCTGCTGAGGGTGATTGTTTCTTCTCTACCACTGCATCTGCGAAGTCACGTTTGTTTCTGGCACGAGTCGTAAATTTGGTGGAGCAATGTAGAGCGCTCTGTTGAATGGTTTTTCTACGTCTCTGGCCGGACGGTTCACATAACTGAGATATCTGTCACCGACTGTTTCACTCACAGAATGTTTTGGGTATCTGTTAAACTGATTAATTACAGTATTGTTCTACCATATCTATTTCTTCGGCATACAAAACCCACCATTCTTTTTTGATGAAGTAGGATATATTTTCCGGTGTCAAGTAGAGTCAATATCTTTCCGGAGTTCGACTTTGTTGTTCGTATTGTAACAAAGCGGCAAAGACAGCACGTTCCAGAAGGTCTGGGGGCGAGATGGCCGAAGTGGTTAGAGCGCGGATCACTAACCTGAAGGTCCGCGGTTCGAATCCGACCTCTGCCACTCGACTTCCCCTGTCTAGGCTTGGGCAACCTGGCAGTATCCCAGCCCTCGTGCTTCCTTCGGGTGGCATGGCAGCTAGGCACCGGAAGGGTGCTACAGCTGAACGCTTTTTTTTTGAACGCTTCCAGAAGGTCTACTTAAGAAACCTATTCGGTGTCCACACTGTTCCAAAACAGGCGGCAGTATGGAAGTTGGAAGGGTGACTAAGAAGATCATACATAATTTTTCATTGTGCCCATTTTTCATAGAACTAATTAGGACCGTATTTGTGGCATTGGTTCATGTGTATGTGCTACTTGTTCCTAATATGACATCTGGATTCGTTTCCTCAATATTCGATTTCAACCATCGACGTCTCCTTTACAGCTAGGCATTTCGGTTGCTCTCTTATTAAACTGTCTGTAATCTGGATGTATTTTGCAGGCAACTACTCATTCTATAAGATATAGCCACACACCGTAGGTTGTAATAGTTGCGAGACACTCCTTCCGTCTGCATCGCAGTGTTTCTTTTTACCTGTAATCGTGTAAAACAAAAGATCGTTCAGCTGTAGTACCCTTTCGGTTCCCAACTGCTATGCCACCGGGAGGAAGCACTAGGGCTTGTATACTGCCAGGTTGCCCAATCCTAGATAGAGGAAGTCGAATGACTGAGGTCGGGTTCGAACTACGAACCTTCCGGTCAGTAACTTCATACTTTACCCAGCGAGCCGTTTCGCCCTTGTATCAATGTAGTTTGTTCATCGTGTCACCTGATAGCGGTTCGTTAAGTCAGTGGCCAGTAAACTTGCCCGCTGTGGCAACTGCCATCAACCAAATGTGGTCGCTAGGCGAAATATCCCTGTGTTGTCCATTTGGTAGATCTGATCCAGTCACACAGTTCATGGAACTGAGGCATCAAAGCTATTCCCACTCTATCTGACGAAAACTCAAGATAGTTTGGTCATTGCTTGGCCGTCTCTGCCACTCTCCTTACCCGCTGTAGTAGCTCAACCTGGGTCACCCTCTGCATATGATTTATAGCTGACAACGAGTCCCCAGTGTTACTTTTTCAAAGAAGACGTTCACTTCGCAAACAACATAAGATAGTCATTTGGTCATCTGAACTGTACTTTTATACGGTGCACGTGCGAGTCCTATTCTCTGGATTTGAACCAGTTGTCTTGATACCATTCCACAGCGAGTGTGTGATTCCGTCATCACCATTCTCTTCTGCTTATCTTGTTATTCATACCAATTGGAATAGGGTGCGGAAAAGCTTGCACTGATTTGTCCTACGTGCTTCACTTCAGTCCTAGCAACATTGCGAATGATGACTTGTGCATTAACGTGTATCCTTGCGCAGTGGATATACACTCACTGCGCCGATCACTTGCACATTTTCTGCTCGATTTGGTTACAGGTGCCGCGTTCAGTTTTTATTCACATATACACGCACACAAACACACGATTCCTCTTTTTGACCATTGTTTTTCTACACGGTACATATTCGCGTCAACAGTCGATCGAATTTAGTTTCGCTTATCTTACCTATTGTATGTGCATGTGTCTACTATGCCCACTGGCCTATTCCGCACGTACTACTACGAATACCTCGGCATGTACGTATCACAAAACGTTTTTATTTGAACTGCGTCTGTATTCCTGCTTGCACATGCCGTGCAGTTGAAGTTCGGTGTTATCCCTCTGAATGCGTGTGAGGTTTATTGTTTTGTGTCTGCTTGGCCCCGCGACACGGTTCCACACTTGTTGGACCAGCTTTTTGTGAATTTACAGTTGATGGGAGGACTATCCAGGCCGCTATGATTCTAGCTTCTTCCCGACTCCAATCTTTGGTCAGTGGCCTGGTTTCAGGCCTCGTCGTTCTGTGTGTGTGCGCTTCTGTGCGCGACCCGGTTGTTCATTTGGCTTGTCCACCGGTAAAATCAAGTTAGCGGTTGTTGTGGAACTCGTTTGTGTATCGTTTACGTTATTTACAAGAGGAGCATAGCTTGTGTCTATATTTGAAAACTGTTTGTTCGTAAGCCTTTTTAATCGAATGTTATGATTGTCCTTTACCTTACTTCATGTGATGTTTATCGATCATCTGTATGCGTTGACGGTGAGAGTGTGAAGAGACTGGTTAAAATCCACTGGAAAACAACTACCAGTCCAGAACTAAAAACCGTTTGAATATGTTATTTAACGCAACTTTTTACTCCTTTTTAGCTATATGGCAGGCCTCAAATTAGAGGATCCCACGGTTGATGTGGGTGACGTCGAGAAGTACCGGTTGGCCTTCTTAATGCAATTTTTCGTCCAACATAAGCGACGGTTTCGATTTCCGCGCTTGCGTTTACAAGTGAGTGTCTCCCCTCAGGGCTGACTCAATTCTGTGATAAGTGGATAGTGACATAATCTCATTTGATGTTATTTTTACCCCAACTTATGGCCGAGGATGTTTTTTTTGCCGGAACGAACCGCCTACCTCAGAACTCAGTATTTCGTTGCTGTCGTTTGTTCCTTGTTATCTCCTTTCGCATCTGTGTTTTTCCACATTTGAGGAATACGTCCTGACACGTAATTGCCATCATCTGATACAAATCTGTCACCCACTTCATCTCACTAAGACGATGTGGCTGCTTAAACCTGTATTTTCCTGAGGAGAGATGGCCAAACGAATAGAAGCACATCCCAGTCTCTCCTGAGCACGTTTACGCAGAACTTCACAGAAACGCATCACCAAGTGGTGCCTGCTAAATATTTTCGGTGTATCCTCGTGGGCCGTCCCAATCGCTCTTCTGATTGAGCTTTCCCCTAATAATAGTGTCTTTAGTTGCCTTCTGTATTATGCAGACACTCTGTTTTCAGTTAATTCTTTGTTGTTCTCCTTCCAAATCGCCTCAATATTCTCATTTTCACTATCTTCACCCGAAAACGCAGTCATTTGGTCTTCTGGAAGAATTAGAGGAAGACACTATTTCCTCTCATAGTAAACGCCTTTACCCAGATTCTGTATCGTAGTCTCAGATCTTGGATACTGCATACTTGGTGGGTGAAAAGTATATGGTCGGCAGACGACCATGCAGTCAGAACGCAAGGTCATCGCCATTTGTTCCATAGACAATATCTTGCATCCTATGGTTACACGTTGTCTCAACATTTTTTTTAAATTGCTGTTCCGTTTCCATATTTCGTTACCTCTGTCCTATATTCCAAGGATCTGTATCAGCGTGTTGTAAAGGATACCGATGCAACTGCATTTTGCGATTTGGTTGCCCGTATCTTGCGATTCTTAAATCATGGAGACCCTGACGTTTCGATCGATACGGTCGATCAGGCCCTAGATCGCTTCACCGTGGACAAGCGAACGTCATATCGAATCAATGTGCAACGTTATCGGAACGGGAAACCAGTGCATCAACTTGGGGCAATGGCACGAGCTGCCCTGTTGGATAATTTGATAGAATCTGTGTACGACGAGCAACCGGACTTCAACTTCACATCCGGTTTTAACAGTTCGAATCCAGTGACTGGCTTGTCGAATGGTATACGGCCCACGAGCGGTTCGACTGTCTTAGATTCAGGAGATCCTGAAGGGAATTCTAGTCTCTTCAACGGCTCGGATTTGGCAACATCGGATGCTGGTGACTTCACTGAACCGGAAGATGTCAATGTTCTTATCAAGGCTGGTCAAGATGCACAAGGTTGCAGCTACTACTACATGGACGGTGAGTGGTTGTTCATTTCATCTCAATTTTATTACCCGTTTGTTCGTTTTACTTGTGAATTTTTTGGTACGTGATGCGCGCACCCATCGGCTCTCTCAAGCATGACCTAGTGAATCCTTCCTAATGATTTCTTATGTAATTAATGTTGGTAGTATGATGAGATTTGGGAATTTCAGTGGAGATTCCGTCTTGTAATTGGAGCCGAGCTATGCTGAAGAGTCGAGAAGCACTTGGCTGCTGTTTCATCTTTATTGGGAATCATCAGCAGTGCGCATATCACGAAACTCCAGGGAATCTCAAACCCGCGACCTCCCGGCTAGTAGTTTGAACTCAGCCGTTCGACCACGAGCGAATATAATTGGTGGAATTCACATTGCAAGAGTAATCACTAAGTTGGGATCAAAATATCAATTTGAAAGAAACATTCTCCATCCTGGTCGTACATTTTTCGAAAGTTCTACGGAGGTTTCTCTGTTCCGGTGCCATAGCACTGGAAAAACTTATATGCTCCAGCTTGTTAAAATAATCTGTGACGAGGGAGAAGAAACGATCGGATGTATCGTGCCAAAATAAGCAATCAGAATTTCGGTGTTATTTCTTATTTCTCTTATGGAAGGAAGATGTTCAGTTACACGTGCCATTAACGATGATAAAACCCGCTTACAAAACCGGTGCTGTGTGCCACGCTTATGCACTTGAACTTCACACACTGCTACCGGACGGAGTGGTGGCGGAAATCCGTCGCTGTCATCACTGAAGTCGTCTAGACACCATCAGAGCTTTTGGAAATGGCGTAGCTTTCCATTCATGGTGCGTGCATCTGGACCCACCAAAATGACTGCGCTGGGGTGAGAGGACAAGCGTTCAGTCGAGGTGACGCGAGCGTGCATCGGAAGCGATCACGTTTCCCCGGGAGACCGCTAAACGTGGCTCGTGGAACGTCAGAATGCCATTGGGTGAAGCTGATTACCAGGTCTGTCGTCCTTCAACAGAACTAAAATCGATTTCCACATCCTGAGCGAAATGCGGTAGGCTGACAAGATAACTTTAGAAAGGCTGGCTCCAGATATAAAATGCACTGGCTCAACTACTCTACAAGGAGAAACGGGATCATGGTGTCAATTCTGCTCTGTCCGACCGCGGAACCGCGTGGCACCAATCTACGTCTTGCTTCTCTGTACCTGAGGTCGACAGGCCGAATTTACGTGACTGATTATTACGTACGCTCCAACGCAATGCTCAGTGGGTGACCGCAAAGGCAACTTTAGTAAGTTTCGAAAACTGACAGGATTTTCCTGCTAGGAGTATTGGTGGCACTTGTCGCTCGAGGCACTTGTCTCAGGACTGTAGACGCCAACAGTGACAGACCTCTCAGACTGCGCCATCCACGTGCTTGCTATCAGTAACACGAAATTAGTCTCGGACAAAGACAGCACAGACGTGCCCATCCAGCGGCATTTGTCACCTCGAATATTTATTCTTTCTCATCTAAGTCCTTGGAGTCAGCACATGGCTGACTCTATAAGCTGACTGTGGAGGATACCACCAGCTTGCTAGAACAATGGTGATAGATAAATCACAATCGTCCAGGTGTAACATCCGTTCGGTGCCTAACTGCCATGCCACCCAAAGGAAGCACTAGGGCTGGAATACTTCCAAGTTGCTCAAGCCTAGTTAGAGGAAGTCGGAAGGCTGAGGGCGGTTTCGAAATACGGACCATCCGGTCGGTAAATTCGCGCTCTAATCACTGAGCCATTTGACCCCCTTAGAACGACGATGCTGGCGTAAAGTTCTATTGTCGGATTGATGGGCATTTTGGTGGAAGGACTTTACTCCACTCGACCAAGGTCTGCATTCCCATTTTTGCGGACGACTGTATTGTTCGCATGTGCACAGTATGAACTACAGTGCTTAACTGGGAAGCTGGGCTCTGAAAGCTGAACGATCGATAGTGGGCTGAAATCCATTGTTGTCAAGGTTAGTGTGAAGTTTGGCAGGTGTGGATAAATTGGAGGCTGCGAACGGAGACCAAGCTGCATGTGTATAAGAAGATGGTTCTATCTGTACGGCACTGAGACACTAACCATATGCTGGTGTAGCTTCTACTTGAGTAGCTTTCGAACGCACTGCCTGTGGGGGATACTTGGTATTCCCTGGGCTGAACGGGTGCAAATACAGCGATCCACCAACGGTGCTTTGTTCGTGATTAGAGGACACGATCGCACTCAATCGTCTGCGGTGACTGACATATGTTTGCCGAATGGATGGGAAAAGAAATAAATTCTATATGATCATGAAGAAGTGGACCCCTGATAGACAAACTCTTCGATGTCCGGATAATTTGGTATCTTCTGTGGATCGCGTGCAGTAGCAGGCTGCTTCGAGCCAGAGAACTGAATCGTGCAAGACGCAATAGTACAATCGGAGCTGTTGGACCTACATATCGGACAGGATGCATCCAGAGCCACTGATCGTGTTTATATTGACCACATGTAATCGGTCTGTCACCAATGGATCCATAATGACCAGTCAGCTAAACCCCGGCAAGTGAAGTGAGATTCCCAGTTCCTCTTAAGCTTTCTTGGATTACTGGATAGCTTAACCGGTGAACTCGGTGGAAGTAACTTTGGATGACTGTCGTCGTACAGACCAAGACCCACCAAACTTCCTTAGCGCACTCAGCACTTCGTTGTGCTAAACCCGTGATAGTTCTGGAATTTTCTTCCAACGTGGACGTAATCAAGTCGAATCATATATGACTCAAGAATGGCGTCCGGATGCACTCTAAATTTGACTTATTAATAATTCAGCCTGGTCCATCCAAAGCGGACGTCATTTGGTTGGTTCACTGGCTAGACCCTTTCCAGTAGGAAGACACTGTGGCCCAACGAATAATGCCTTGTTGATTGCTGGCATTGGTCTTGTTGTTTATTGCTCTCACTGTTTTCCACCACTGCTGTGTCCCGTGTTCCGTCTGGTCAGCAAAGTGACTCATTCACCTTTGGGCAGACTGGCTGTTAGTAACTTCGCCTCATGGGTTCCAAAGTTGCGCACCGGATTTTGTCCAGATTTTGTTCCTATTCTAACCCGCGCGGCATTCCGTGCTGGTGCTTGTTGTTTTCGCTGGACCAATCGCATGAGCGCAATACGTCTGTCGCTGCCTTGGCGGCGTCCCTCTTCCCATGTGGAGGGTGGTGATGATGACAACGAGGAAATAGTTTCATGTGCTTAGGTTGCTGTCGCTATTGTTGATGCCTTACGAGCTCGAGATCCAATTGGAGACAGCTGTTCACTTGTGCTTTTCAAGTTTGTGTGTGCGTGTGTGTTTAGAGCTTTGACGGTGGCCTAGCTGTCTGGCTGTTCGTCATCTGAGAAACAACTGGTCGTTCAACCTGTAGATCAAACATCCTTTGGGATCATCTTTCCAGTCTCCTTATTTCATGTTTGGATCGACCACTATTATTCCGAATCACAATCGCACTCCCCAGGTAGATTCTCCTTCTGGGCCGAGTATGCTCTATTCCGACTGGCTATATGGATTTTTGGGATTGTTCCTTTTCATGTCTGACTGTCACAAACTCCTCGAGGCTGACAAATTTTACACTCTGTAGGCTAATTGATTTCGATATTTCGTATTGCCGCACACACTGGTTGTTGACGTGGTCCGAAATTTTTTGTGAACAGACTTTTTGTTTTTGCTTCCAAACTGTCTTAGACTTGCGGCTGTATCGTGAACGACCACAAAGTGGCATATCTTCGCACTGGGATGTGGCTGTTGGTCCTACTGGTGCTCAATGGCAGGCGTTTATTTTATCTCTAAGCCGGAATGAAAAGGAGTACGACCTGTACTGTTTTCTCAAACAAGATCTTTTCGAACTAGTCAAGCATAGTCTAGATAGCTACGAACTTCACTCCACTAACAGTGAATTGGATTCCAACTTTTTGCGTGCCAAAGAAGCGAGTGAACTGGCAGAACTGCGCCGACGGAAGGGTTTGGTTACATCCAGGCTCGGTGGTGATGGTGTGGATGGCGCTAAATTGACATTAACCACCGCATCCAATCTGGCCACAAACGGGCCAAAAAGCGCCTCACCTGCTTTCTCTGGTGGTCATGGTGCTTGCGGCATTGGAAACTCAAGCAACAACTCCTCGGGAGCACCACTCACGCCAAGTTCCGCACGCACCCCAACGTCCGCCCCACCCGCAACTGCTTCAGGATATTGTTTACCCTCGTTGGGCCCGGCGGATCTATCTGATTTACTTCCAACATCGAAGACCGATCACATGCGTAAGTCCCGTTCTAACTTACTACCAACTCTCTTCATCTCACTGGAGTATCTGTTCCTTTTCTATGATTTACCTTGACTCAGCCATCGTGTTGCAGCTGGTGCATATGAGACCGTATCAGCTGACAGTGCTAAAAACTTACCAAACTTGCATTCTGATGTTTGGTCACGTGAGCCTGCATTGTTATGGGTATCTTGTATCCTGTATTGGCTTGTACTGAGTCCACCTTGTAGTTGAAGTATGGTCTCATGAAAAGTGACAGTGTATTAAGAGATATTTGTTATTCAACGCAGCTGCTCGTAGTCCCATGCCATTTCGTGGCCGTAGCTTGCTGTGCTTGGCACGTGTCATACTCTCACGTGACTCTGCTGCGTATTTTTCGAAAACTCGTGAGGTTTGTTTGCCTGAATTGACTTAGTTTCTGATATATTAGGTGCTATGTTTTCTCTCTGCTCATCCCCGACATTCGTGACCTTCGATTGTTTCTCTCTTTCAGCTGCAGGTTTGATGTGCGCAATACCATTAGTTTGACACAACTTGGACTTAATACATTTGAATTGTTATTGTTGAATGCGCAAAACTGTAGGATTGTCACAGAACATGCCTAGAACTGACAAAAAGTTAAGGCGATATTGTAGGTATGGTATTTTCCCATGAGTAATACGAATGAACGGATTCTTTTTAAACAGTGAGTTTCAAGGTCATGCGTACCCTAACTGATTCCTTGATTCGAACTAATCGGCAACTCATTGAACCAGTCTAAGTCTGGCAAGTGGTTCTTGGGTTTCGGCCAAAGCCACTAGTGATGTGGCAATGCGTGACAGATTGCGACTTGATTGAGTGGATTGATGACAGCAGTCCTTGCTTCCATCGTCAATCTATCAGTATATTTTTTGATAAAACCAAAGGAAATTCGAAGGGAGATGCCCAGCAAAGCAAAGAAACGACTAATAAAGACTGAATCTGATCATATAATGCATAGAACTTAAAAAAGGTGCTCTCAATCTCAGTATACGTGTTGGGTAGGTTGAGAAAACTACTTCAAACTGATTCGCATTTAAAATGCGTGCAATTGATGAAGGCACCTTGTTTGAACACAACACGATGGCAGCACGTGGGGGGAAATGGTGTTAAGCAATGAGAAAAACTTAATCCGGACGATACAAATGGTTTAGTGTGCTACCGGCATAAAGTTATGGCAGAACTAAGAGTTTTGAGTGGATTAATTACCAAAGCAATTCTTTGGTGGGTTGAAGAGAAATCATTTTTTTAAAAAAAAGAAGCGCGCGACCATGTTGACCGAGCAACAGACGGTTTATTCCTCCTCTGCGACTGGATGGCTAGTTACTTGCAATTCCGGTGAGGAACTGTTTTTGATGTTATTGCGAATCCGTGCACAACGTCCGTTTCCTGTACTCGATTGGTCTCTGGTGAGAAATTAAGGAATCGTGACCGGATAATTGTATGAAGCTAATCAAAAAGATGAGAACTTTACCGTGGATTTGATAGGTCTGTCGAAATGATATGTTTCAGCAATTATTCTTTATTCTTTATTCTTTTCACTTCATTATTCTTAGGTCTTTTATTCTTTTCGTTATTTGTTGAAGTAGTCAGTTCTACACTCAACTGACATGTTCCGGCCTGTTCTGTGACATATCTACGGGTTTGCGCGTTTAGTTGTAGGTGTTTTGCGGGGCTTGTAGAGTTCCGGTTCACATCACTCTCGTTTGAACAGTATAGGTCTGTGAAATGATATGTTTCAGCAATTATTCTTTATTCTTTATTCTTTTCACTTCATTATTCTTAGGTCTTTTATTCTTTTCGTTATTTGTTGAAGTAGTCAGTTCTACACTCAACTGACATGTTCCGGCCTGTTCTGTGACATATCTACGGGTTTGCGCGTTTAGTTGTAGGTGTTTTGCGGGGCTTGTAGAGTTCCGGTTCACATCACTCTCGTTTGAACAGTCGCCCTCCTGTCCTGTCGCAATTGTTCTGTGAAGTGTACACCAAAGTTTACTCTATAGCTGTCTGGGTTCGGATAGACTTCAAGTTTAAAGGTAGAGATATATGTAGTGTAGTTGTTCTGAGCACTACACTTGAATGATTCCATTTGTTTTTGGAGGTGACTAAACAGCTTGAATCAATAAAGTATGACATCGTTTGTCAGGTTGTCCATTTTTTTCAGTGTATGGACAGAAGGCTTGAAGGGTGTCTCCTGTTGTCGTACTGCCTTAATGTGTTGATTCCTTGCCTATTCGTGTGCTATACCGCCACATTTACTTCACCCTCCAAAAAGACCGTTGGTGACTTGAGTAATCATTCCTGTCAGTCAAACAATAGTCGTGATGAATCTGGTTTGCTTCGGTTACTTGTGTTAACCATCGTTCAGCTGTAGCACCCTTCGGTGCCTAGTTGCCATGCTACCGGAAGGAAGCACGAGGACTGGGATACTACCAGGTTGCCTGAGCCTAGACAGAGAAAGTTAAAAGGTAGAGGTCGGGTTCGAATCACGGACCTTCCACTCAGGAAATTCGCGCTCTAACCACTTGAACCATCTTGCCCCTGTGTTAACCATATTGACCCTTGGACTCCCCCGTTTCTATTTGTTGTTTATTCCACCCAAATAAGTTTGGATCATGATGTGCTTACACTGCTCCACTGCTGTGCTTGATCTACCTACAGAGTCATCCCAATGTACTAATCGTTCTCAATCGATATGTGACGTACCACCGAAAATTAGCAGTGCGGATGTAAGCGATTCCTCAGCCTCCCACAAAGGTCCTGAATTGTGCGTCACTCAATCGAATGGTTTGCATGCAGAAACCACCTCTTGCCCTGCTGTCAAAAGTGAATCATCAGAACAATTGGCCGGTACACCAAGGCATGCGGATACTTGGTCTTGTCCAGTCGAAGCAGATATCACAACATCGGGGATCCCCGCCACTTTTAACGATTTACCGCCTACAAATGATACATCCTGGTCATCACCGAACCACTGCGGTGGAAAACCGTTAACCGGACCGCGACAGCCTTCCCAAGCTGGTAGGATTATGAAACATCTTCGTATGCTTTTCATTTTTGTCGACATTCAACACACAGAATCCTTAGTCACACAAGCTTGATTGCATGCAAGAGACTGAGTTTTTTCCAAATCCCGATGCATGTCACGCACTGATAGGCGGTTCTTTCGCCGGCAACAGTGCAGTCAGCTTCGATCGGAAAGTGCAATTCTCAGGGCTGGAGCCTGTCTCCAACCTGGTCAAACAGAGCTACACTCGCTTGGTCGCTCACGAGACCAAGAATTAGTTTCAGCGTGGGTGGTCTAATGCGAATCGTCGTAGACCTTAATCTGTTTGATGAACTCATGGAAGACAGCTGTACGGTCGTCTTGACCACCAGCCTTCTAACGAAGCATTGTATATGATTCCAGGTTTTTCCCATTCTCTTAGCATTTGATATTTTTGGGTACCGCGATCTCAGAGCACTGTGTATCCAGCAGCAGTATTCTCCAGAACATACTGAACTGTTTGCTTCTCTGGGGCATCGTCATCGAGAGGTATTCTTCTCCGTGACGGACCCATTTAGCCCTTTTCGGGCTTTTTGTTTTTGAGGAGTTTCCACGCCATTACTACTACTCCCGCTAACACCAATGGGTTGATACCCTGTCTGATTGTTTCAATATACCAGTGCCCAACACCGAGTCCAGAGTGTATTGCACAGCAAAGGCAAGTATTCTTGCTCTCGTACTCAGCGTGCCCTCCAAACCCTTAGCGGACTACCTCACTGATTATTTAGTGGAAGTTTTGAGCTAGCTGTAGATTTTCCATGTACTGTTAGGTTACACTGCTTTAGTATACCGTCCTAAATGTCAGTGTTTTCGCGATACCGAAGACAATAGCTCTCGAGCAACTGCTTTTCTTCGCCTTTACCCGATAACACTGATGGCTTCCGACTCCTTCCTGTCATATTCTTGATCACATTCGTTTTAGAGGTCGAGGCATGACGAGTGCGATAAAGAGGCAGATTACGTTTTAAGATCTTTAGTCTTCAGTTTGCATAAGAACATGGAAGTAATCACATCTGGCCAGTCTGTATGCTTATGTATCTACATGACCCATAAATGTCACGGATTCCAACTACTTACAAGGAATCATCTATACAAAGACCTTTCCCTGAAATAATTTGATCAACGTAGCTTATCTCGTCACCATAGTCATGAACTGTAATACAGGCGGTCAATTTGGATAGAAACTGGCACCTTGAAACTCGTTAAAATCGGCTGTGTGCCATATCTTTGAGTGCGTTCAGCCAAGCTTAGGAGGAGTGACGCCAACCTCATCTGAAATGGAAGGTCGCACCGACGGTACGGGAACACGAGAACACATCCGTCATTCTCTTTTACGAGGTTGTATTTTGACCGTCTCTAGGCTATGGCCACTCCACACTAGGCGAGGAAAGCAGCGTTCTCGTTAGACGATAATTCGGTGTTTATCTTTGAAATGTACTACCCGTAAGGTTGCTGAAATCCGTCGACAGCCCACGACCGGTTTCGTCCTTTTTGGGGCTCATCAGTTAGGCGTAGTCCCCGGGTTTCCGTCAACCTTGTGTTCTACTTGAAAACAAATTGCACGAAATTAGCGAATATGCACTCATTTGCAAACTAGTTTGGTTTTTCCAGAGACTCATCTGGAACCCAGCTTGAAAACATCACAAGCGAGAGATTCAGCTGGGTTCCAGGTGAGTCTCTCGGAAAACCAAATTAGCTTGCAAATGAGTGTGTATTCGATAATTCGGTGTGTCTAACACATGGTCAAGCCATAGCAGCCTTCCATGCCAAGTGAATTCCTCAAGCGAAGTGCTTACTGGATTGCTAAATACCTGTTTCCTGATCACACGAATAAGTTTGTTCCAATATATTCCAGTCATAGCTGTGAGAAAATGACAGCAAAAGACTACCGACCGGAAAAATCAAATCTAACAGCCGCATAACAACGTGTACCGTAGTCTTATGCCGCTGACATACAAGGAGGACAAATTGACAGAATTCTTCTGTCGAGGTACCACCAGACCTGATGCAGCGTCCGAGATCCTCGGATCGTTACGCAATCTCCGGCCCTCTTCTCCATTAGTAAATCCGTTAGTTAAGACTGTTCTGCAGCGTGACTTCCAAATTCGTACGCCTTAGTGAGCAAACTGCTCATTTCGCTGAAACATAGTTTTTAGGAGTTGTTTTTATCTGATCAACTGCTCTTAATAGAATAACGAAATGGATATTTCTCTAATATTTTCTACTCCTTTCTCCCTTGCTTTCGACTGTGTGCTAGGATACCTTTTCCCCATTCCTATGGTAGTAAAGTAATGTCTACTGATGGCATATTGCCGTCGATAGTGATGATGGTTATAACGGAAATTGACATTTATTTTTAGGCCGAACGGAAAAATGCTGCTCTTGTACTGAAGTAACTATTCGGTTGTTGTACACTTCGGGCTGGCGGTGTCCAGCCATCAGTTTTTTATTCCTAAACTGATGCTTACTAGCCATACAGAGAGTTCTCAGACAGTTTAGCATTCTTCATGATTTTCTTGTTCCCTAGTCAAAATAACTCAATCTAACTTGATTGGTTTCCCCTTTTGCTTGTTTTTTCTACCCCTGTCCTTAGGTTCAGATGCACGGATCAACACCTCCGCCAAAAATGTTTTCATAGCTCCTTCGAATGACTCATGTAATCTACCGGCTTCACCAGGTCCCGCTTCTATCAACACAAACCCAATACAGACGCAACCGTGCCTATCTGTTTCCGCAACTTCACAACCTATTGCTACCAAACAGCAGTTATATCCGGTTGACCAGTCCCCGAACAAAGACGGCCAGCCAATACCCGAGTGTAACAACGGACGAGCCATTTCCGGCCCTCTGCGACCTGTGCCCGGTGACCCTGTGGACGCTCTAGGTCTTGGGGACCGCCAGGTGCCACCAGGATCCAAACCCCCAATGGGCCCGGCCACCGCACTCGTCCCTCCCATGGTTGGTATGCCCGATGGTGGCCCAGCTCTGACTCAGGAACAGTGGGAAAACCGCAAAAGCAAGATTGCACAGTTGGAAAAAATACACTCTACCCTCAGCAAAAGCAAGAGTGCTTCAACACCCGGTGCCGTTGCGGCAGCTGCAGGTGTTGTACTTCAACAACAACAACAACAACAGCAGCAGCAGCGCCTGCCTCACAATGGTCCTGCGATGCCAACTGAGTTTGCTCAAATTCCTCCGTCAATAGCGCATCAGTCAACCGGTAAGCCAACACTCGGCAAGCCTGTGTGCGTAGTCCCGAGAGGGAGGCATAGACCATTCGTCGTTTTATCAGTTAGTTCGTTTTTTTTTGTTCATAGTTTTTGTTGTCCACTAGTAGAGACAAGATACCCATGTAGCGTCGCGTTACATTATCATCATCATCGACAGCATAACATCAGTGTTCAACACCGATGCTTCGCTGCCACACAACCATAGTTTAATCGAAAGCCTTATTGTGAAGAAAAGAATAAAGGTGGTCGGGGGAGTGACTTACTGCTGGCTTACTACAACCAATCCGAGGTGTCTACACATCCAAACACTCATTCAGGCAATTTGGATAGAAACTGACAACAAGATCGCCGCTGACATCGGTTGGCAGCCATATCTTGCAGCGTCTCCAACCAGGCGCAGTGAGGATCACGCGGTCCCCATCCTGGAAGGCGAGTAGCACCAACAGCACCCGAACGTTTCGTGATTTCTTTCATACTCCTCTGCCAGGTTAAGGTTTGGCTACCTCTCTGCTTCCGCGTTACGACTACACATGAGTGGATGTATCTGACCACTGGTGTCAGTACGACTGTTTTCGGTGAGGTGTACATTGATTCCTTTGATTATTGTCATCGATCAGCTTCCGGGAGAATAGCTTCGTCTCTAGGCGGGCACCAGTATCAATGTTTTCCGTTGTACGAGAAGTTAAAAGCACCTCGCGCTTTGGCCGCTCCGTTCCTGGTTTTGAAGTAGACCGTTGCGATACTTACGTTGCCTTTAGAAGACATCCCGAGACGGAATTGGCTCGTTGCTCCATGCCGCTTTTGACGGTACTGAGCAGCATGTTCAGTTATATCCTCCGAGGCAACGTTTTTCTCGTGATTTCAGCGTCATTTTTGTTAGAAACCATTGCAAATGCCTTCGTTCAAGGAGTTAAGCCAGACGTTGGAGACGGCGACAGCGTTTTCGGATCTCATCATTCGATTTCTTTCTTAGATAACCAATTCTCACTGTACGTCGGAGGAACCAATGGTCAAATACTTCCATCTTTCGGATATCTTCCTCTCGTTGACGCCATGTTTCGCCGCAATAAATCAGGACCAGACAGATGGCTGAGTTGAAGATCCGGATTAAACTAGTGTGTTCGCTTCCGCAGGACAGACTAAGCCAAATGGAGGCTTGTCGGCACTCGACGAGTCGTCGAATTTCTTCTTTAGCCTGTCCGTTGGGTACCATGGTGAGATTAAGTCGGCAACTTGGGTTAGTTCACCGCTTCTGTTGAGAGGCTGGGCGGACACGTCCATTATGTGCAACCCATTAGGCTGCAAGAAACATGCAGCGAAGTAGGTTATCAGTAACACCAGCTTGGCCGTTTGATCCAGAAAGTAATCTCGTTCGCCTAATTCCACAGAGGTGATTTATGTTCTCACCTTTGTTGGCTTAGCTGGCTCCCTCAGAAAGACAACCAACGGACCGTTAACCAGGCTATATCGTCTAACACCCTCTTTCGTCCTTTCAGTCTGGAGAAAGCACTTCTAGATGGCAGTAAATTGGACCTTCTCAGCGGAGGTTACATGCTGACAGGTAATATGAGAGCGTTTCAGAAGACTTCCAGTCCCGACCATACTGAGGCATTAAAGGCACTAGCTCAACAGTCATCGAACGTCATTTCGCTGGTATTTGTCATTGGTTTGTTATATTCAAGTGGATTTCACGCTGTACATTGACTTGTCAATGCGTTGGGAACGAAACTATTTAGAAAGTTGGTTTTTCTAGTTCATAAGACACCTACACAGAGCCACCAGAAGTGAGCAAATCACGGATCCATTCGCAGAGGTCCGTTCCGCCTGCGAACTGTGCGGAAGTGTACAAGCCACACCATTCCACTGTATGATCACGCAAAGTTGCGTACGTACACGCCATTGGTGGACAGTGAAACAATGTCTGTATAGTGTTATCACCCACCTTAAGTTCTTTGAACAACTTTCACGGAGTATTAGGACATTGGCCAGGATATGATGTGCCGGTTGATGGAAAGCTTGTTGAACAAAGGCCACCACTTTAGATAAATTTTTACGTACTGTTCAGTTACGGGAGTGAAAAACAACAATGGTGGAAACTGTCCGGCTCGTTGTAGTAGTCTGTTGAGATCGAAGGGTTGCAATGGGGATTTCACTCATTCAAGGAAGCGTCCTTTACTGGAATTCATACCTCAAGTGTATAAAAAGATAAAAGATAATCGTCCAGCTGTAGCACCTTTTCGGTGCCTAGCTGCCATGCCACCCGAAGGAAGCACGAGGGTTTGGATACTACCAGGTTGCCCAAGCCTAGACAGAGGAAGTCGAGAGGCAGAGGTCGGGTTCGAACCACGGACCCTCCGGTCAGTAAATTCGCGCTCTAACCACTGAGCCATCTCGCCCCCATCTCAAGTGTATATCAGTGTGGCAACCCGAAACCAGCGCATGTGCTGTCAATGGTGCACTGTAGGCACCAAGTTTGATCACCCGGAAAATCAAAATTTTGCACCATATTTTACAATGGAATATGACGGTGGTGTAGCAGACAACATTCGCAAGGTGTTCAGCTTAAGCTGCGCATCCAGACGCTGGCCAGCAGCTGTTTCGGAGAACGTTTTGTGCGTTGCTTTACCTGGTGCGTGGATTTGCTGTCAATAGTTGATGAGTCCAGAGAAAACGCTTTAGTGCAGTTAGTTGAAGAACAGTACACGAACAAACTATCCAGTTTGGCTACCTAATCTAACACTCTATCAGAAGCTGATGCTTGCGTAAAGTTCGTACCCACGCCACTGTCAGTTGGACAGTCCTCCTACCACTGTGGCGCAACTATTCTGGTGTAAAAGACCGTGTTACAGCAACGGGACAACCGCTATCTGCCATCCATGTGCAAAAAAGTTTTTGCGGACCTTATTTAGTGAAATGTCCACACAAAATCACACTCGGCTTGTTGAAATTAAGTTTGGCTTTGAAATTTAAGTCTCTTGTAATTTGTGTAAGGCACTGGATACAATAAAAATTTATTACACAGTGAGCCTTGTCCCGCTGTTTGATTATCTAGTTCAGCGTCGTTCATGATTCCTGAGGACCAGTCAAGATTACCCTTAGTACAAGGCCAACAGCATCAGTTCCGGGTGGTTCCGGTGAAGTGAATACTTTGTAGGATTAGGGAGCATGATTGTTTGTTTTGTAGTTAAGCCCTGAAAAAATATCTCTGTCCATCTTTTTGACAACCTGTTCAGTACACTGAAGTTACTCAACTTCCCTCGCTTATCACTATTTGTAGAAACGCTATAGTGCACCACCTTAACTTCGGTTTTCCTCATCTCGAAGGTTTTTGGGGGAATGCTACTCTTTTACCGAATTATTAACAACCGTTGTTTGCCGTTGTACGATAACCGATCACAGCTCGCTCGGTGACTGTAGATTTTCTCTGGTTGTTCTGGTATCAACCCTCAGAACAGGAGATTACCGGAGTACTTGTGAAGCTGCTCTGATTCCTCATCAATTAGCCATCTGAGAACTTGCATCTTTATGATCAGGCTAGTCCATTAAAGGTGACAACTTTCCCTAGCTTAGTTCTGCTGAGTAGAAGTTGACTCCATCAGTATATCTGCGATAACCCTCAAGGGAACACTTGTTGAACACCACTTAGTGCCATCCTGTGCCGCTAAGTATACACATACAACTGGCATTCTGGTCTCCATACAACTACCCAACTCGGTTAGATCATTACTTGGTGTTACGAACTGCTAAACGTACAGTGTTTCCTCCTTTTCTAACCCCATACATACATTTTATTCTCTATCCAACAATGCATTTCTGACTGCCTTTCAGGTTTATCTTCTCCGGTTGGCTTTGGCCCGTCGCCTTATCCACCAGTGCCACGGCAGGTTTTGGCAGAAGGTTTTCCTGTCAGTCGTCTTTCCGGTATACCCGGAGGGCCACCTCCAAACGAACTGGCGCAAAGGGAATGGGACAGAATTTGCCTTGACTACCAGCGTGAGAAGGGAGAGCCGCCTGGTCCCCGCTTTCATACCTCTGCTAGACCCCCGCCATCGGCGACAGCCTATGATACCAGTGGATGTCCTCTTGTGCAGTCAGACGTCGGCATATCTCCGCCAGGCGCTGTAATGATACCGTCAGGGCACATGAGCATGGATCATCCCTCTTGCCATGCACCTCAACGTCACTACCCACCCAATCCAGACGGTCCTCCCGTTGTTATGGTCCCACCAAATAATTCGAATCTCACTGGTGGAAATGCACCTTATCCTCCAGCCGGCTCTGGCCCTGTTCCCTCTGCTTCTATCCAGCACTTCCGGTCAGCGCATTCGATGGGGCATGGGTGCCCGGATCAGTCTCATGCATGCATGATTCCGACAGGTCAGAAACGTCCCTACTATGGTTCCTACGGAGATTCTTGGGTTCCTTCAAACAGTGGATGTATGATGGGACCACTTTCATCCAGCGATAGCAGTATGTACCCTGGTAATCTACCTCCCACAGGTTCTGTGCAGCCCCAACGTGGCAGCTCTCTGTGTCAAAGCTCGTTTGGTTCTACTCCTCCCAGCTCTTTACCTATGGTAACGGCTGCAAACGTGGTGACTAATTCTTCGAGTGGCCGTACCTCTGGTGTCAGTAAAGCAGGCGGGAAGAAACGTAAAGCCGCAGCAGTGACCGGAAGAGTTAGCACGGTTAATACGCCCGCTACTCCTACCACAAATTACCAGTCTCAACAGCAATACGCCTACGCCAAACAGTCAGGACCAAACAATTGCGCGGGCCCGATGACACCCAATAAACCTCCGTATTCTTCAATGTATATGTCTGACCCGTCTCAAGCCGGATTTCATCGCTCGGCTTACGCTTCTTCTCCTGGTCAGCAGAACTTCGGTCCTCCCGCTTCGTATCCAGGATCCGATCCGTACTTTCTGCATTATCCGGTGAGAATTTTCCCTTTAGTCTAACTTATGCCTTATTGTGGGTAAAAAAAACTTTTTCAGAAGGAATCTATAATGGTCAAAAATGCAAGCTTTACTACTAAAAGCTTCGGATTCGCTTGTGTGTTAGTACGCCCATCAGTCTCTAATCATGAGTCTATTATCCCTTCTGCGTCCTCTCAGTTGGAAACAAAAGACTGTGCATACGTGCAGTTTATTCCGTTTATTCATACAGGGTGTATTACCTCAGCGCAAAATGGTGTCCATATATTGCATCATTTTGCGTTGAGCAGACCCACCACCTCATGTCTTTCGTGACTTTCTTCGGGTTTCCCTCAGTTGTTCGTACAAACCCACCTTAAAAGCAATAACACTCATTAAGATCAGTTCGTACTTTCCGAAGCTGTTTAAAGTTAAGCCAGGGTTCAATGTAGGGCGTTCTTATACTCGTTTCGTTTATTGAATCCCGTAGAACATCTGTCACTTGTTTACTTAGTGGCTAATGGCCACATCTGCTTATTTTTGTAAATTGCAGAATCTTCATGTATATCACTAGACACATCTGCAGACCGTTATCTTCATTTTTGTCTCTTTTTCAATGCAACTAAATTGGCTTAAAATATGGTTATTTTCTCACACTTTCTTTTGTTACACTTTGTCAAAACTCATCTGCGTATCTACTTTGGTATACAGGTAGTTCATATATTTTTTTCTCTGCACACATATATGAGGAAAGAACTCAGAATTGAGACCGTCCTCAGTATCTCGCATTAGTTGGTCGATTCTGATATTACCTTGCGCATATTGGCTGTTCTTGTATCTCAACATGATGTCCCAAACGCAACCATTTTACCATTGTCATCGAGTCTACCGGGTCGTATTCGTATATGCTCTGATTCTGTTTTCGCTGCTTGAGGGTGTTGGCTTCTTGATGAACTTATCAGCATGGCAGTTTGACAACTACACTATTGCACACATAAGTTTTACTTGCAAACAAGTTTCAGAAACCTGTGACCGCACATCCGATTGATGCTCTAGCGGATTCACATCCACCTGTTGCACAGATCTGGCACTAGTCAAGTTCAACCCTTTTCTTGGTTTCATTTTCGCTGTACTGTGCATCGCCTATTCATCACAGCGACCCAACTAACCGCTTGCCTTATATCTACTGTCAAGTAACCAGTAATATTGATCTTAACTGCGAATAGACCCGAATTTCCGGATGCATCAGGAGATTCTCCCAGTTCCATGCCATTTTTGCATGGGCGTCGTTTTGTACATTTTCAGCAGCTAATTTCTTCATCCTCTCGCTTGTCTGGCAACTGTGTGCTAAAACGTGTGTCATCAAATGCTATCTGGCCAACTGCGCATGGGCGTGGTTGACTGATCCTGGCGAATAACATGCCCGCCTCCTCTGATCGTACAAGACACCAAAACGTGTACAAATAGACACACGCCGCATGCCTGCCTGTTCCTGATGTTTGTTAGTCTGTTTAGAGGTTGGACACGCATGAACTCGGCTTCAAACCCAAGTTGTCAGCGGACACTGAACTACCTACCCTCGCTTCCCCTGTACCTCAACCATAAGTACTAGCTAGCGAGGTGAACGCATTTGTTCATCCTCGCTCACTCGGACATCATCTACTATGCATGGGTGTACCGTTTGTTGGACGTGCATACATTCGCCTGTGCTTGAGACGCACACAAACAATTTTGATCGTTAGCTAGCTAGTTGCGTACTGTAGCATGACACACAAGTTTCGTTCCTCCTTTTCTTATACCTAGCAGTTACTCAACTGTGAGTCTTTCGGGGGGTAGTCTACACACTAATTTCCTAAGACCACTTCACGTAGGTGACCCTAGCGCATATTCCGAACAATTTTTCCCCACATGTAATGTTGTTGCCCTGTTTGGCGTGATACTTTGACGTAAAAAGTTTGCTTACCAACGATCAGCAACACCAATCGTGAACGTGTGTTCCACTGTGCACACTGATAATAGTTTTTTCGAATAAAGTTTTATTTTTGAAATAAAAAAATGGATATTAGGCAGGAGTTTATTAGTAACCTACAACACGCCGATCGAACTCCGCATATTGATACACTCCGTCAGAGATCGACCACTGCGAAGGCAACGAACCATTGTACCCCCTCAGCCTCCCAATTTGTGGTATCTTCAGTTCGTTCACCATCGGTTTCTCAGAACTGTGACTAGAGTCAGCTGCCGTTAACGAATTCTCGATGAAGTGTTTGGTTACAAACTTTTATGGCTCAGCCGTGTGACACGAATATCCAGAGCATCTTCCTTGACGGAGAGCGTTGTTTCCTGTGTTGTGTTGGAATAGGGGTCTGCAGAGTCTGAGTTTTCAGAAGGGAACGGAGGAAAGTCTGACTGCTGCCGTCCAGAACGAAGCATGCACAACCTTTTGTTTAGCTGGGGACATCGAACCTTTGGACCAATATCAGCGGTTTCTATGATTCTCTTGTTCAAGTTTTGGAATAGTTTTGGAAGTGTAAGCGCCCTTGTTGTGTGTACCAGGTTGCACTGGGGTCTTTCCATCCATTCTCTTCATCCGTACCGACCTCCGGAAGTCCGTATGGGATGATGGAGTGTTTCTGAAAGCAAAGCGGGATCGTCGAACCCCACAGTTATTTGCATTATGACAGAGAGGGTGTCCTACTAGATACACGCTTCCCAGAAACATGTCTCCTGCTCGCCCCGGGGAGAAAGTGGCAGATTCACAAGCGCTGACTAAAACCAAAGAAGAATAGCGTATTTTGAGGGAACACGCCATTCATAAGATTTCTGAAAACATCTCGGCAACAGTATTTCTTTCCGCCTGATAACTTGAATGTCATATGGGTTGTCTGTCTTTTTGCCACCATATTGTAAGTCACTTATGTTCTACAACCTTCTTTCTGAAATGTCTCTTGGTTGGGATGGTCTGGTAAACTCTTGTTAACGGGTGACCTAGACCAGGACGTGACACCATCGTGTTGTGTGACTCAAGACATTGGAAGGAAGCGCAGGTGTGTAGGGTTTTGTGAACGCTTTCTAACGCGTAGGACATCTTACATAGACTTTGCGTGGTCCTTTGTACGGCAGTCTAACCCCGGGATAAATAACGGATGTTAATATTCCTGTTGATGGCGACAGCGTGTGGCCCCTGTCTCCTCTAAATTGCCATTCATCTAGTTTCCCTGTTGGCTTCGGGAAGCCGTTCATTACCAGTATGTTGGAAACTCCTGTTGCCAGCGCGTCAAGCCGCGAGTAAAACATACCGAATCAAAATGCATGAAGTCTGCTGTTGAAAAAAAGCGTAAGGAACAGTACTTACGGTTATAATCTGATCACCCCGGTCTGTTGGCCATTCGTAAGTGAGAATGAGATCCGTACGCCACAAGTCACCGTTTCAACGTATTCAGTGACACCACCTTTTGTGGCGAACAGCTGCGAATAGAAGTGATGGTTGTTTCTAAATCTTTCAAAATCGTTTGCCAGCTGATTCCTAAGCTCAGATTACTAACTCCCCTATATCCCACCTTTCTCTAGATGATATGAAGTGGATCATTATCCAAGTAACAGTTTCAAAAACCCGTCTGGCTAGCTTCCCTCTCACAATCCTCTAGGCCATTCAGCTTGTCTTGTGCTTGCACATTGTCGCAGCAAATCGAGGTCATTGTTCGGCTGTTTCCTTACGGCTTACGCAGATGCACAATATGCAAAGAAGTGCGGGTCAAAGTTAGGGGACCGTGAAATAGCCTAACGCTATCGTGAAGAATGCGCACTTATCCCATAACAATGACCTAAGTTCCGCGTGTCACGGTATGGTTGACAATGGACAAAGTGGGAGACGAAAGCCCGGCTTTCGAATTGACAGGGCCAGTCATGTATCTGCTTTCGTTGCACCGACACATGTTCACCTGTGATAGGATAATTTAAGAACTCTTATCGAACCAAGAAACCTATTCTTTATCATCTCTAAAGAGACAAACAAATTGAACAGTATGCTTCCATTTTCGAACCGTCCGATCTGCGGTAATACGGCCTTCTTTATCCGCAGCGTTGTAGACAAATCAGTTTGTTACTTATCCCACCAAGTCACATGAATGTTCTGTGGATGGCTGGTGCTATCGACTGAACTCATCATTCTCGACTCTTCTGATCTTGATGCAACGATACTTGCAAAGTTGACGAAAATTCTTCAGTGGCTTACTGCCGATCTGTTTAGCCGTGATGATAGTTTGGTGGTATAGTAGACTAGTACAACCAATGCTAAGTACCAACATCCAAACTGACGTAAGCACACTACTAGAATTTTTATTCATTGTCCTAGTGCACTAGCAGCGCATATTAGGTCTTCACACTTGACTGCACGCTTCTTGCTTGCGTACTTTTTCGGAAGTGTATGCCGTAGTAGTCGTTTATTTATCGGTCAACGTAGTGCTTTGTCTGACCATTTTCTCTTATCCCTGTGTGCCGCTCAGAAACCCATTCCACCACCTACTCGTAGTCATGTTTCAATCAACTATTGGTCACTGAGCGGTACTCTTTAAACGATGTCGTTACAAACTTTTGCGCCGTCCTGTTTGGCGTTCATCAGTTTCTTCCATCCCTTTGTTCTTTGGTGTAACGTTCTCCGGTTGACCGCCTCTGATAGTCGGTTACTTGAGCCGACTTTTTCACATTTGGATGGGTTGAGCATGGCTCAGTGAAAAATTTGTTCCACTTAATTTATCTGATCAACGTAGGTGCTATTTCTCAATTCTTTACCAAACTGGACTGGTATGCATATCACTCCCGTTTGAACAGTCCTCCTTTTATCCTGACACGATTATTTTGGGAAGCACTGAACTTGATGTGCGCTCTTATTGGAGCTCCACAGCAATTCATGTGTTTCGGTGTCCTGGAATTTTATCTCCGGACCTTTGACGCGATGCGAACCTACTCCACCAGTGCTCTCTGGACGAATCCAAATTGTCACGATTGGACAAGCGAACATGATCGCACTTTGAGCTGTGTGATTGGTTTATCTGACGTCAAACTTATCGTGCCAGTACAGGCGAAAGACTGTTCAGCTGAGAGCAATGTGGGTGCGATTCCTCATCCACACGCTACATTCTTTTGGTTGTTTTCCCACCCCTACCCAAAACGCAACGTTCGATTTTCGCATCGGCATTTTCGCGACCGTTTTTCTGTCCCACTGGTTGTCGCACATTTTCCTAGTGTTCCAACAAAACTAAATTACGTTATTTGTTATGTCCTTCAATTTTCCTAGTGTTTGTACCATGCGACTGGGAGGGGGTGCATTCGGGTTCTATTTGCCATTTGTTACATAGGGATCCTAATTTTGGCATTTTGAAAAACAGCGCTTCCTTTTTGGAGGAAGCATCTTTTTTGAGGTAATAATTTTAAAGAAATGAAATTTTTTCCCACTGAAATCCTGCCTCGATAAGACATTCCGCAAAACCGAAGACAAGACACGTTTTAGTTTCTCCTCGAGGTTTGGATACAACAACGGTGTGGTTCCAGATCTAATTAGGTAGCTGTCATTCCAAAGTCTTTCTGCCGTAACGAAAGCTGATGGAATAACTCGTCATGTTGAAGAAGGATTCCTACTCGGCTCGTCTTGGCCGATAATTTAACCTTGGATAAGTACATGGCACCATGTGTTAGAACATTTTACTATGAAAATACCAATTGAAAGTAGTGCAGTCGAAAGATAGGATTAAGCAACGTACGGCAAGTCATTATTCCTCGGCTTCCTAGTAGTTCCGTACAAACAGGTCTTTGAGGGTCCTATTCAAGCTTAGCAAGATGAGAAACTGTTAGAAACTGCTGCCCTAGTGTGTCAATCAATTTGTCAGCTATAAACCATGTGTCATAGGCACATTGGTTCCGGCTGCTACAGTTTAGATCACTGGAAAACGGGAAAGTGGAATACGAACCAAGTCTTGGAGGCGAAGGCGCGCTCAGTTTGTTCAGAAATTGGGTAGCTGCGTAACGAAGACGATAGCTTTGATGCACGAGCGCCACTGACTGCGCGATTGGGCCATTTCCGCCAATGTCAATAATTACTGGTAATTTCAGTACCGGAATCCCCATCCCTAGTGTGTGTAAATCATGGATAAGCAAGTACATTTCAACATAGGGTTAACATTAACTGGAAAGTTGTATCTTACTCCAACCAAAGCTGTTGAAAAACACCTGAGTATGGATGAGATTTCATCACCGAAGTGCGTAATTGCATGCGGCGGCATTTTTACAGCTCAGCCTTTCACAAGGGAACACTCCCTTGGAGAGAGCATTTTATGATCCGGCAAAAGACCATTCCTCCAGGTTCGATTGTGCAACGTACGCTTCTAATCCGAGGAAATGTACTTTTAAGCAGCGTTCATCAGTTCTCAGTTCCGTATGGGGTTATAGAATGCCTAGTTATTTTGTTTCACTTAAGTTTACTCACCATATTAACGTGCCTTTTGGATGTATTTTTTCATTTTGTCACAGGAGCCGAATATGCCTAGAGCAATCGGTAACTCGGGCCTTGCAATGGAGAACCGTCGTGCTCTCACTCCAAAAGGGACCGATTCGTTCGCGGTAGGTCCAGCTGGCTACCCACTACCATATAGCGCTACATCTGGTGGGCGCATGCCATCTAATTGTGGAATGCCATTCTCTTCTCCGGGAAGTGGTTCTGTTGCGCATCCGTACATGCACTCCCCAGATATGTCTGGTCCCCACTGCGAAATGACGCCCGGATTGCGGCCGTCACAGACCGGATCCTGTACACAACACTTAACTTCAGCTAGCTTAGCCAGCCTTGCTCGTTTATCCCAGCTATCCGGATCCGAGAGCCCGTACGTCCCGTCTTCGGCTTCGGTAGGTAGCTCACTTGGTACAATACCTGGCTCCGGAAATTATGGTAGTCGGGCTGGGTTGTATCATCCGGACAACGTGGTGGTTATGAGTGGCTCGCACCAACCGGTACCACCGCAAGCGGTGCGAGGACTTCCTGGACCCGTGCCAATGGGACTGAAGCCTCATGATTCTGAACTACCACCTGGTGCGCCTTCCATGCATACCAAGTTCGCTGCCCAAGGATACCACGGACCTACTCAGCAGCAACATTCCGGTCCCGCACAGCCGTCTCTTCCTCAGCAGCAGCAGCAACAACAACAACAAGTGCAGTCGCAACAAACCCCCTCGATTCAAGTATGTTTTTCTGAATTGTGTTTTTCCCACTCTTGATTATCGAACCAATGAGGTTTTACGTAAAACCACGTTCAAAGAAGCTGCCTACTGGTGCTAATCCAATTTACTGGTTAGCGACTTGTTATCCACCTTGGCATGGATTAGTCCAATAGCTGTGCAATAGAGATTGCTGTGATCTTCACATCTTCGTTTGACAACACTACTCTGACACTTTCCTTGGGAAGGTTTATATGGTCTCTTCGCGTGCCATGACATCTCGTTTCACACCCCAATTGGTCTAAGCTAAGTGGATGATGATGTCTACTCACTAAAGGATTTGTCGACTGGAGAGATTACCACCGGCACGTAACGTCGTGGGAAGATATAAGAGATGTGTTCTTTTATCATTTTTTATTCATAACCATGTGTTGTCTTCAGATGTTTGGATACTTTCCATAAGTAAAAGTGACAAGTACTGGGCTCTTCATGACGGAGTTTTCCTCATCCCATCTAAGTTTATTTTGTGCTAACCACCAGGATTTTGTAGAATGTAGTCACGTTCAACTCACCTCGTTTCGCATCCCATTTTCAGGTTAACAACACCTTTTTCAATGCGCAGCTGAATGTACAGCAAATGAACTACCAACACGTCAGCGCTCCTGGATCTACGGGTCAGATGCAGATCCATTTTGTTCAACAGCAGCAACAACATGACCAACCTGTGGGTACCAGTGGTGGTGGTGGTGGGAATGCTCGAGCCACCCGACAGACCAATCCATCTTCACGGATGCCTCCCGTGTCGGACTACTACCCTTCACAAGCTCCGATGGGTCATGCGACTAACTATGGACCCGAGTCGGGTGCTGTGCAACGCGTCTCTCAATTTCCCAATGGTGCTTCTAGTGCGGAGTTCCAAGTAACAAAGTCTGATGGACCAATATCGACATGCGGTAGCTTACCACCTAGTGGGGTCGGGCCAGCAGCCACGAGCTACGGCAACACAAGTGTACAAATCACTCCGCGAACTCCTCATACTATTCAGTACCTGCCTACGGTCAATCCGTCACAAACAGAATTACAACAACCAAGTTCCCAGTACCCTTCCGCTGAATCAGCCCAAAGTATACGATCGAAGGGATTGCGAAGTAATGTTCAGTATGGCTCGTCCGACCCCACCATGTTTGGCCACATGGATATGCCCATACCAGAAACGATGAAGCAAGCATCCTTCAGCTCCGGAACAGTGTACGCAAACCAATCGGTCACGCAAGCTACATCTCACCAACAGTTCCAACAGCAGCAACAACAACAGTATGGATCACAAGCCACCTTCGCTTCCCAGCCATCTAATCAGGGAAAGAATGCACCCTCACATTCATTATCTGCACGAGGTTCGTGGGTTTCTTCTGCTGAAGGGCATTTCGATTCTAACTCAACTGCAGGACCGCCAAGTGCGTTCCATCCGGGGACGGTTGACGCACAATTGATGTCCTCGGGATCCGGTGAGTTTTGCTTCATTTCCATCTCAAAATTGTTATTCTACACTCGCCAGTTGTATAGGACCTCAATACCATACTATCGTGCATGTCTGTGAGCTAAGGGCCACTGTGACGATATCAATATTTATTTTGGTATTGTTTTCTGAATTCATCTTGACAATAAACAGGGTTTCACCAAATTCCGAACTTGGAATGAATACCTCAATGTGCCCAAACTGTAGGACCATGTAGTCTTATTTCTGAAATGGCTTTTTCTGGCTGCTCTCCTCAGTTGAGTCCCTTCCGTTTTTCGGGGTTAGGTAAACATTTCATCTGATAAACTGGCTCACGCATTGCCTACCCCAGTACCGCCATATATTTGCTCCAGTTAGTACACAGAAAACGATTGAATGACGTTCACAACAGAAGCGTGAGACTATGTATGCTGGAGATGTTCACTTGGCTCCCACAAAACCAGCCGACTGGTAGTGAAATGCCATTTGGTTTTTACCCATGAGCTAGGTAAAGGATTTGGACTGTGTCATTTGATTCTTGGGATGACAAAATGCATGGAGTGTGCTACCGGAATGACCTGAGTTGCAAGTCGGATTAGCTCCTATTCCTCAGTCGTGATTTTCGTACTGAGACTATGCTGAGTCACTGTCACCGGTCATGTCCTAGCTTTCAGACTAGAAATCTTTCTTCTAATCGATTTGATTTCGAAGTAGTTCCTTTCAGAGGTGACACGGTGCTACTAACTAGCAACCGGATGAATTACTAACTCTATCTACAGCAGTTCTTTCTCATTTCGGTCCGGTCTTACTTTCCAGTTAGAAATAGAGCTCTTTTCTAGTACGCCTATGAAGGAATATCGATCTTACCTGATTGAGGAAGCTCGGGAGAACCAACTAACCAATTCGTTCTTTCCGGTTAGTACTTTTGTTACTGAGATTCTTTTAGAATGGCCATAAGGTTGAATCGCAAGTTCTTGACTGGTTATTGGAACTTCAGATATGAACACGGTTTTTTAACAGTGCACGAAGAACTTCATTTCTTAGCGTTGAAATGATCGGTGTTTTGATAGAGTTAACACATTTTCAGGAGATATTATCGTGGTCGACTAAACCTTTCGTGGAAGACATTCGCCGCCAAGTGAATTGAAAGACATGATTGATTCTTCATAGGCTTGTCCTATTGCAGAGCATCTGGAGTTGCTAAAACTAACCTTCTGTTCTTTCCCCCAACAATTCTCCTAGTTGGACGTCCAACTGTTCACACTTCCCACCCATCCAGTCGGATAAACATAGCTTCTTATCCGTCAGGCTATTCCGGTGACCCAATGGATCAGACTGTGGCAGACTCTGTACCCGGATCCGAGGTGGTTGGCCCCGGCTTTCAACACCGATCTAGTCACCCGCAGTACGGCAGACAATCAGCAGCGAACAAACATGAATCACCCGCTGCCGTTCAACTACCCCCAGTGCAACAACAACAACAACAACACACCTATCGTCATCAGCAGCAACAACATTACAGTCAAAGCGCGCAACAACATCAAATGTTTATGTCCTCGTCTATGGGCAGCCTAACACCTGACGGGTCTGGCGCCAGTAATCAGGTGCAATTTATGATGTCGGCCTCTTCAACCAGCTCTTCCCTAAACGCATCGTCTACTATGCAAAGCACCTCGACAACACTTGTTACAGGCGACGTTTCCCCTATGCCAACCACAGCGAATGCGACATCGGAAGCAACCACTGTTCCTTCGGGTGGAATGTGTGGGGGCATGGCATCGGAAATGAAACTCAGTCAGTACGACCCGATTGGTTCTGCCAAGCGCGCCATGCTGTTACCACCCACCAATGATGAAATAAAACCGCCGGGTTCCCTCAATGGGCCATCGTCCTTCAATACTAGTTCTGCTTCGCAACTGCCGAATCGGGTATCGTGGCAGTCCAACCCAAGTGCCATTGCGGCCATTCCTAACAACCATTCGACCATGGATCAGCAACATCTTGTTAGTGGGGGATCTTATGCTGCATCCTATAGTTCGACAGCTTATGCCACCACTGCATCTTCGAATTCAGGGACCGGACAATCCACAGGCTTTGTCGACGCCTTAGGTGGAGGTATTCGTGACGTGATTGGACACCCGCAAGCTGCTACTACGTGCGACCTCCCGCCTCCTGGACTATCCCAACCTCCCTATCCATCGTCCATAGTACAGTAAAATCACTTAACGTGGTCATACCAAACCCTATCTTTCACTTGTTTCCTCTTCACAGACACACCTACATTGCCGATACTCTTCCTCCAATGTAGAAAGACGAGCTTACTTTACTAGTGTTTTTCTACTTCTAGGCCAGCAACCCAAAAGGAAAGGGCTGTGTGTAAATAAACCATTTTATTAGAATGATCATCATTCAATGAACTATCAGGCAGCCAGCATGCTACTCCTGTCACATGTGCGTGTAATGTTCTACACACTCAGTGACCTAACCATTGATCCCACCTCTTGTCCCGCTCCACCGAGCATAGAGCAAACTCGTCTAGCATTTCTTTTCTATCGGTCAATCTGATTTGGGACCGACTCATCCTAGTTGTACTCCAGTCAATATGATAGTCTGTCAATAACGATTCCTCCTGTTCAGCATCATTCATTACACTATATACCCTCCACGTACTCACTGATGGGTGCGTGATGGTTGTGGGTATATTAGGACATAATTTAACATGATTATTTCGACTCTGATGTTGACTTCTCCCAAAACCACTCGATTTGTTTCATGATGTGCTTTCTCAACCACTGCACCTCAACATCCTGCACATAGTAGGTCCTCTCTCTCCAATCTTTGTCTGTATACTTCAAGGTAGACGCATATTTTTCCACCTACCGTGTTCTCAAATCCTGGGTGCATTGTACATTTCTGTCTATGTTTACACAAATTTTTATGGTCTCCTGTTTACTAATGAACCTTCGGTCATTTCGTTTTCTCTCTGTCATGATATTTTAGCCCGTTTTTTATCATTGACTCCTTTCTTAATTGTGCCGCGGATACCTGATTCGCCGCACGGATTAATTGGGCCTGTTTTCACGATCGAGAGTTCTATTGGCCCATAGACCGTCTCTCACGTCTGGACGCCGTTTTATGATTTTCTTGACGTACTTGTATTGCTGTGTTGTTGTCGTTGTTCGTTTCTTGCTCTCTCTGTCCCTGGGATATTTGATGAATTAAACTGATCAATGCTCACGTAAACGTCCGGCCAAATAGAATACAGGCGATCATCTATTCGATACTGATTTTCTCACTTGTTCGCCCTCTCTCTTTCTCACTATTCTCTGTTCAACACATACAAATCCATTGTTATTTCTACCGTTTCTGCTTCTATCTTCGTTCAGCGATGTAAGTTTCTTGGATACCACACGCAATTAAATGCCTTATTTCATTTTCCTTGGTGGTTATTGTTTTTCTGTCAGCTTTACCCATGGAAGCACCCTTCTGTAGCTGAATGCGCAGGCCTCTACAATCGGCTGGGAATGAGCTATGGAGTGAAGCGCAAGATTCTAACACCGGTCCCTCTTTTGGGTCCAAACAACCCAGTAAAATCTCAACTCAATTGCATTGTGGCTAAGCATTGAAGGATTGACCCAGTTGAGCAGTTTACGAAGCACAATACTGTCCATGAAGTTTAGGGTGATGGGTCGCCCTCCGGTGTTAATGTAGCGCTCCAGGGCGTTTGTTCATCCCCATTCTGTTCTCCTTTTACCCTCTGAACTTTGTATCCTAAAACAGGTACGAGTGAAAAGATGCTTGTGGCTGGAGGGCTTTTCTGCTGAACATATCGTTTATCAATAAAATAAACCGCTATGGCTCCAACTTTCTTGTAGTGTTTCGAATTACATTTGCCATTTGCCGACAAGAATAACCTTTGCAGGCAGATTGGCTGTGAACTAAGCTTTGATACCGCCTGTGCTGCGAATGACTGGCAGCTTATTCGTAGTGATTGGTAATCGCTCGTATCGAGTTGGTCTTTACTGAATGGATCTGTCTTGAGTTAAGATCCCTGTCTGTGTAGTTCTGGATGGAAACAGCTGGTTTAGCATGGCACTCTCACCCAAACGAAGGCCGGTCACACTCGGCGTAGAACTCGTATTCTGACGTGCTTATCAACCCAGTCTCTGTATCCACAAAAACACCACGCTTCTGCTAATGAGCCATGATCTCTTATCACTTGCCCTCTTTACGGTGATCTAAATAAAAGTTACTTAAAAGTAGTCCTTCCGACTCGTGACTGTAACACGTGATATGCACCTCGTGGAACCGGAGTACGTGAAGCACGAGTGTGGGTAGATTTATTGTTAAGTTTATTCTCGGCTACGCTGTTGGTTCGGTCCCACTAGTGAGCTAGTAAAGGGCATGGAATTCTTTTTCCTTGGTAATGATCATCCGCATCTCATAACTTCATACTAGCAAGTAAGCAGAATGCCCCTGTAACAGACTGCAGACTACACATCAAAAAGCGCGACAGCCAGTAAAAAGCCACACATTCTATCCGGAAGATAGTCGCCAGTGAAGCGGATCACCACAGATTCAGTTACTGCTGGTGTTCCAAATGTCTAGGCTTGGGCAACCTGGCAGTATCCCTACCCTCGTGCCTCCTTCGGGTGGCATGGCAGCTAGGCACCGAAAGGGTGCTACAGCTGAACGATTATTATTATATCACTGAGAATGACGATTTTGACCTCAGGTTATTTTTCGTGACGAGTGTTGCAATAATGATCGGGAGTTGCCTACTTGCCCTACAGTGACTTTAGCTTCCATAGTTTCGTTCGCCCGTTACTTAGGGAGTTGGGGTAGATAGCTATGGAGGAAGTAGCTGATATCATTGATGCGAAAAGGATGGGCGTGAGTGAATTTTTCATTGGAGGGATCGGGATGGGAGCTGTACATTGAACGCAACTGGACCATGTCCGATAATGTCTAAACGTTGATGTGGTTGTCCAGCCTACTGACCATATAGCCAAGCCACCACAACCTACAGAGTGTGATCGATTCGTCTATCATTGGTGAGCTATTTCCGTAAATCATTCGAAGAACTACCAGATTTGGTCAATGCGCCGAAGACATCAATGGTCAAACAGTGAAAGTCTTTTGACGTCCTCGGCGCTCAGCGACCAGGTCTCTTGCCCGCCTAATAGTATGGAGCGCACCGCAGCATTATAAACTGGACCCTTGACAGATCAGCTGATTCTACGCCTACTCCACAGGTGATGTAAGTTCGTGAAACCTACTCTGTCATTCCCATTCCGGATCGAAATGTCTTTGGCCAGAACGCCGGGAATGGTACAGCTGCCCAAATTTTTCTGTTACCTCAATCGGCTCATCCGCAGGCATGAGGCTAGGGCTCGAGCCCCTCCAGCCCTGCAACAGCAATTTACACTTTGCAGCTCTGAAGCTTATGCCAAACCGTGAGAGAATTGTATAGATTATCTAGTATTCTCTGCATTACAATGGCATCAGATTCAAAAAGTGCTATATATTTTTTGTGTGCGATGTCTGTGAGGGAATGCTCCGGAGGCAGTTCGACCCTGCAGACATTAGAGATTGGTAGCGAATCTTCCATAATCTATCAGATACAAAATTGAAGAAGAAAGATAAAAGAAGGCAGTCTTGCTTGACACTACTTAATGTGGTAAACTCAACGAGAGCCTCCCGTAGACCTTCACACGTCCGCGGGAGTGGGCATACAGCGCCTTAAGTAGTCAGGTTTTAGCGGGGGGCACGCTGCTCCACGGACGCTGTAATAATGCCTGACGGTCCACAGAATCCATGGCAGCATTCAAGTCAGGGAAGACAAACATTTTTGGTTGGTGAAAGCAGTGTTGCTGCCCGAAATCCGTTGGAAAGTGAAATTGTGATCGATGAATCCTCTTGCAGTACGGAACGAAAATTGGTTTTCACGAATCTGCCTTTCCCTGTGTTCAATCAACCCTCGAAGAATAAGGCCAGACAGCAATTCCGATGCCGCAGCTACCGGGCTGATATCACGGTCGGTGTCAGCGTCGGCTATCTCAAGTCGATACTGCCTACCTATGATGGCTTTTCGAAGATGGTGGATTGGCATGCTTCTTGCCGACTTGCAAGGGCATTAATGGGGAAGAAGTGTCAAGCATGATCGCGCTTCAGGGTGAATGGAATCATGGCCACGTGATCTAACTGGTCCCTTGGTTGATTTGCACTTGGTGGACGCCAGGTTACGCGGTGCGGAGATTTAAGTTGGAAATTCGGCTGGCACACAACTGGAGGAGTCGCTCTCTGTTTTCTCTGCGGCGATCCACGACTCCAAATCAATGTGATTTCAACGATCTTAGACGACCGACTTGTGATAACAGCGTCAGGGCGAAACTGGTCGTGGGCTGTCGAAGAGTTTTCAGCAACCTTGTGAGTGGTTTCCTTTATGAAAACAACGTCAGTACTTCTTACTTGGCAATAAGCCCGTATGAATTTCGACAGAACGTATCCTTCGCACCTTAAAAACTGCATTCCCTTGTGGTATAGGTTGACATTGCAATCAGGCACCGCTATTCATTTCGGGTAGCATTATGCTTGATTAAACTAGATAACTGAAGGTCTCAAAAACGACTGTTCACTGGTATCCAATCCGACAAACCGCCTTGAGCTCCTTGGCTGAGTGTGGTTCTTATGCCATATACTCAACGAGTCATCACTTCTGGATCATCGGACAAACTGAGAGCGGAGTGTAAGGGAGTTGAGTCCGTTCTTGGCGCTTTAGGATGCATTGCCACACTTGAGTCTTGAATGCGTGTTCGGAAGACACAGTATACATTAATTTTAAGGGAGTATAAGGCTTTCGAAGGCACTGCCTCTTCGGATTTGTGTACGGTCTTTGAAACCATCGATGTAGAAAAGATTCAGCAATATTGTCTTCCAGACGTATTACACTACCCATAAGGTTGGTGAAAACTATTCCACAGCCCACGACCGATTTCCCCTCCTCTGGATGCATTAGATAGGTGCGGTCCCCAATTTTCTGTCAACTTTATGTTCTACTTGAACGCGAATTGGACAGATTACGATAACTACTCTCAGTTTCACACGAATTTGTTTTTGACAGGAGACTCAACTGAATCTCCAGTTTTAAACACGTAAACTCGGGGATTGTGTCTACCTGCTTAGCCTCGAGAAGGACGAAACTGCTCGTGGGCTTTTGAACGGAAAGTGTATCTTTCACTATTGATGGGCAGTGCAATGCATAAGGTGCGTCGGTCAGACAAAGTCAAGACCAAATGGTCCGGCTGTACGGTTGGAAGGTTTGGGGGTTACATCGGTGGACAGACACCCATGAGCGTAAATGACGCTTCTCAGCCGTTCAGACCGAGGAATAGGACTTAGCTGAGGTATCCGCCTTGAGCCTTTGATTCAAAATTCTGACCCACGAGGCAGTAGGGTTTTCTCGGAGACCTTACCCGGAACCGGTGACTCAATAGTCTGCCCTGCTCGGCTGCAGGGGGCTGGTGTAACCCAGCAGTGCAGGGAGTAAGCCATTTCTGTCTCACTCCTGATGCGGCTGCGCGCAGTAGGTGCCTTTTGAAGAGCACCGAACACCTTGGCTCTAAAAGTATTTCGGCCGTAATGAATAATGCACCGGTGGTCACTGTCAACCTTTGAGCGACTGGAGTGTGCGGCTCTTAGAGCCGGCTTTTTCTAACCTGTCCTTCTTCGAAGGAAGGCATCATTGCTGCTTCCATGAACATGAACATGTTTGTTTCCTGGGGAACACAAATTGTTGCCTTCAGGCTCCCATTGCAGAGGACCGTTGGACTTTACCTGGAAACCGCCTCGTGGTATGGGTTCTCGCTGCTCTTGATCTGACTGCCCCATTCTTTTAGCCTTCCTTGCATGGGTGCGCCTCGTGTCGAGAAGTTCTAGCTAATGTAGCCCACGGGACTATTGCAGAACTCAAGTTCGTCTACTACGTCAAGGTGGCAGCTTTAGGTTGGGGGAACTGCAAAAGATGGTCATGGGTTCCGTGCACGGAACTTTCTAGATGGGGTTTGAACACCTTACAGTTCAGTGTTGCTAATTTACCACCATATATAATAGTAACTTCATTATCATTCATCTGTATCACCCTCACAGTACCTAGCTGCTACGCCATCCGAATGAAACACGATGGCTAACACACTGCCAGATTGTACAAACCTAGACAGGAGCAGTCGGTATTCTGAAATTGGGTTCGAACCACAGACCCTCCGCCAATAAACTCAAACACCAATCTATCTCGAGCCAACACTCATGTGTTACGTAGTATAATCTTGAAAAAATTCTAACTGTCTTTGTTCGGTTGTTGTATTTTACATTTGTTTATTCCATTTCAAACACTCAACTTGGAGTACAAACTACCCCACTTACC